GGCGATGACGAAGACGACGGTGACCGCGACGACGACGGCGATGGCGACGGCGACGAGGACGGCGGCAACGACAACGGCGACGGCGGCGGCGACGGCGGCGGCGACCACGAGGGCAATCGGAACACCGCGACGAGACGACGACATGACACGAGGCGGGGGGGCACATGAGCTCGAGCGAACGAGGACCTGGATATATGACATTGCCGACTGAACACTGGGAATAGGGCGAGGCGGTGGAGGGGAGCTGGTGACGATGGCGACGGCGGCGATGGCGGTGGTGACGGTGGCGACCGACGACGACGAAGACCGATTGCGGTGGTGGCGATGGCGATGCTGAGGATGAGGCGACGAGGTGACGACGGGAAACGAGTGGCGGAAGATAGAAGCAACGAGGGAAGGACGATGGACGGACGATGAGCGAACGCTGGAGGACGACGATGGACGGGCGATGGAGGCAACAAGGGAGGGGCGATGAAGGGCGGGTTGCGGGGGCGATATCGCGAGGATGACGATGCACCGCTTCTCTGTTTTGGGGCTCGTGGCCCCTGTGACGGCGTGTATCTGCGCACGCGCGCCGTGGGGCCTATAACGAATTATCCACAACAGATGTACATTTGTGGATTCTAGACAAGACGTCAACTACTGGAGGCGGGATGCGCATACTATCAACTGACCACGAACGACCCCAAAGGCAAACGCGTCGACCGATATTTCATCCCTGGAATGATTCAGGACCGCTCAAATCGTCGCCACCAGGATTTGCCCCCAGGAAACTGAGATCCGACCACCCCGCTGTCGTATATGAGAAACCCGTATACGACAGCGCTGCCGTAGACACTGCCACGACGAGTTTGTCGTATACGAGTTTCTCATATGCGACAGCGCTGTCGTACACGAGAAACTCATATACGACAGCTGGGCCTCTGATCGCTTCAGAAGGAGAAGAGGGGGGAACACGTTCTCGCAATCGCGATTGCGACGAGATCGGGATGCAGCGCGCGAGCCTGGAACTGATCATGTCCACCCGTCATTCCTGCGGCCGCCGTGGTCGTGGCAGCCCTTGCCGCCGTCGTGGCAGCCCGTGGCCACTGCCCTTGCCACCGTTGTAGTAGCCACCGACGCGGCCGCCACTGCCCTTGCCGCCGTTGTGGTCGCCACTGCCCTTGCCGCCGTTGTAGTAGCCTCCTACGACAGGTTGTTATTGCGCCACGCACGCTGCGCCTCCCTCCACACGTTCGCGTGGAGCCTCTTGCTCCACCCGATGTACTTCATCTGCTGCTGGTCGTAGCCGTCGGGCCCCTCGACCAGCTCCTTCACCGCCTAGGCCTTGGCGAGGCGAATGTGTTTGCCTCCGCGAGGCCGCGGGGCGTAGTCGTCGTCGCCGCCCTTGTGGCCGCTGCCCTTGCCGCCGTCGTAGTAGCCCCTGCAGTGGCCGCTGCCCTTGCCACCGTCGTAATAGCCCTTGTGGTCGCTGCCCTTGTCGCCGCCGCCGCCGTAGTCCGCGCGGCCGCTGTCGCGATAGTCGACGTCGTTCTGGCTGCTGTGGTCGTAGCGGCCACGCTTGCCGTAGTAGCCGCTGCTGTCGTTCTGGTTGCTGCCAAAGTCGTAGCCCCTGTACTTTGCGCCCTTTCCACCGTGGTAGTCATCGTGCTTGCCACCGCTGTGGTAGTAGTCATCGCTCTTGCCACCGCTGTAGTCGTCGCCCTCACGCTCGTAGTAGCCATGGCGCTTGCATGGGCGCGTCTTCGGTTGTGGCTCCTTGTCGTAGTCGCCACCGTCGTAGTCGCGGCCCTTGCCGCCGTCGCAGGCGCCGCCGTATTAGCCCATGCCGATGCCCTTGCCACCGCTGCCCTTGCCACCGTCGTAGGCGCTGCCCTTGCCACCGTCGTGGTAGCCCGTGCCGCTGCCCTTGCCGCCGTCGTGGGCGCTGTCCTTGCCGCCGCTGTAGTAGCTCATGTCGCTGCCCTTGCCACCGTCGTAGCCGCTGCCCTTGCCACCGTCGTGCGCGCTGCCCTGGCCACCGTCGCAGTAACCCATGTCGCTGTAATCGTCGCCGTCCTGTGCGAAGTGCTGCAGGCCATGCATCTGGTTCATGCTTGGGTCCAGCGCGGGCGCCATGTCGAACATGTCGAGCAGCTGGTCCGCCGTGCACTGCCTCGCGCGCTTTGGCGGCGGGGCGGACATCGGCGGCCGCGGCCCGTAGTGCTTTGCGTCAGGCGGCACGGCAGGCTGCCGCGGTCCGAACTTCGACTTCGGCCGCAGCGGCGGCGGTGGCAACGGCGCTTGCGGCCGCGGCGCTGGCGGCGGATCGGCAGCACTGCTGTTGCCGCGGCGGCGGCGGTTGAGGTCCTCCGCCGCGCCCGGAAGGAGCGCCACCGTCGCCTCGTCCATGGCGCTGGTGCTGCTGCGCGTGGTGCGCCGCTGGTTGCGCTGGCGGGGCTGCGCGCGGTGCGCTAGCGGGTCCGCGCTGACGCGAAGGCCCAAAGCTTGGGCCTGAAAAGTGGCAACGGACGAGGATATGGAGGTGGGGCTGTTGAGGATTGGCGATGCAATCGCATGCAACATGCGTCCAGTCTTTTTTCGGCGCCATGCAACTGCCCCATGCGTTGTGCCGCAACGCATGCTTGTTACTATACTAGCTGCATGCACCCCTAATACAGAAGTGAAACACTATGAGCGGCCGACGACAGACGACGGGTGACGGACGACGGACGCCGACGACGGACGCCGACGACGGACGCCGACGACGACGACGACGGCGACGACGGAGGTGTTCACCGCCGTTTGTTCTCAATTCCGAGGCCCTGCAGGGCCGCGTCCCCTCGCGGCTCTCCCATGGCCCATCCGGGGGCGTCCATGTCCGTTCATGCCATGGGTCTCGAGGTCCCTCGAGGACCGCGTCGGCGACGGCGCCGCCATCGACGAGGCACGGCGAGGAGCTTGGAATGAGAAGGGGGAACCCAGGGGATGAGAAGGGGTTCTTGGAGAGGCCTCATAGCAAATGCATGTTCGTGCGCATGGAAAACAAGCGCGGGCCCCATAAGGAGCTGAAGCGCCAGTGCCAGCGCGCAGACGACGCAGAGCGCGAGACGAAGGAGCTGAGGACAGCTTTAGGGACGCGCGACAAGGGCTACAAGGGCGATGGCTACTACCACAGCGGTGGCACGGGCAGCGGCCACAAGGGCTGCGACGACGGCAGCGGCCACAAGGGCAGCAGCACGGGCTACTACGACGGCAGCGGTGGCAAGGGCAGTGACGACGGCAACTACGACGGCGGCATGGGCAGCGACATTGGCTACTGCGACGGCGGCAAGGGCAGTGGCGACGGTTACTGCGACGGCGGCGAGGGTTATTACGACGGTGGCAAGGGCAGCGAGGACTACTACGACTATGGCAAGGGCAGCAATGGCTACTACGACAGCGACGACAGCAAGGGCTACTACGACGGCAGCAAGGGCAGCGACCAGCAAGGGCTACGACGGCAGCAGGCGAAGTACATCGATTGGATCAAGAAGAATTGGCAGGGGCGGCCTCAAGAACTCGGCCCAGAATCTTGCGTGCAGGGCGGCAACTATGATGGTGGCAAGGGACGGGGCTGCGACGGTGGCAAGGGCTACCACGACGGCGGCAAGGGCAGCACCCACGACGGTGACACGGGCAGCGACGCGGGCTACTACGACGGTGGGGGCAGCGACTACGACGGTGGCAAGGGCGGCGCCTACGACGGTGGCAAGGGCAGCGGTAAGGGCATCGCCTACGACGGTGGCAAGGGCAGCGACGACGCCCGCAGTGACAAGAGTGCGGACAACAGCATCGACGAGAGGCACCCGACCCTCGACGGTGACAGCGCGAGCGTTGTGGCGAGCAAGGTCACTGGCGCTTCTGGCTCAGATGTGACGGGGGGGGGGGGGGGGGGCGATTCTGACACGCCAGAATCGGATCGTGATTAGGACTGATGATCGAGGAGCGAGAGAGAACGCACAAGGGAGGGGGATGGGGAGGAGAAGGGAGCCAGACGGTGAGCGAGCGAGCGCGTGCTAGGTCGCGATCTTTCGGCCGTGTTCTCTGGATCGATGCCGCGCGCATGCGAATCTTCGCCAGGTTGGTCACCAGGCGAACCGTCGCCGTCATCGTCATCGACCATATCGTTCCCCCCGATGGCAGGTGTGATGTTGCCTCGAAGACTTTGCGCAGCTTGAGCGATGTAGACTGGTCCCCAAGCATTGGCTGTAGACTGCGTCCGTTGCGGCACGCCGTCTGCACCGCGTACCGTCATGAACACTGTCACGCGACGCTTGTCGCAAAATACGCCTGTGACGCCAGACGTGGACCTGGCTTGCTTCTCGCGGTCATGCGCGTCAATCGCTGCAGCCGCCGCTGCAACGCGCACGTACCCCATAGCAGCAGGCGCACACTCGATCGAGACCTTCTTGCACGTCTTTAACTCGAACAGAAACGTCAACGTGATAGACTCGTGCTTCACGTGCTGGTCGCCGCGTGTGCACTCCACCGCTGGGAACGATGCAGTCGCGGTCTCTGGCTTCAGAGATGCATCGAGCATACCCCGATTGATCTTGACGACCGAGGCCTTTTCAACATTGTCCTGAAGCAGCGGGCCGGTGTCTTTCACCCGTTGCCAGATCGCATCGCCACATGCGGCGTTCCTCATCTTCGGCAGATCACCAAAGAAAGCGTTGTGCGCTAGGGGGGCGGTTGGCTTTGTGGGGTTCGGGGCCCCGATGAAGTTCTGAAGCTTGCGATCGCTCTTCGACAGCCCCAATAATAGCGAACCAGCCGCTTGGGCAATCTGTCTGGGGGGGGGGGGGGCATGGGTCTTTCAATGTGCCCCCCCCCCCCCCCCTTCGATGGCAGTGCGCATTTGCACAGTCGCGGGCATGATTGCAAACCAAAGCTCGAGTGGAAACGCCTGCAGACAAGGCAATGATTGCCGACGTCCATGCGATATGTGAGTGACAACTCATGGTAATGCGTTTGCCGACATGGGAGGGTGGAGCGACGTTTTGCAAATGGACATATTGCAATCGAACGCGTGTTTATAAGCACTGCATATATGCATGCATGCATCGCCACTTCCTAGACTTCTTCACTGCGGGCGCAGGCGCATCCTCGGCCTTGCGCTTTGGCATAAGCGATGCCAGCGGTGCGATCAGCGCATCTCCCCTCACGACGTCGCTCTTGTTAGTCAGCACCTGCACAGACACAGATGGTATCACATCGGACTTCATGGTCACGACCTTCATGTTTGCAGTGAGCTTGGGGGCCGACTCCTGCACGAACCAACATGGAATGATTCAGGAGCCAGGGGGTTTCGCCAGCCCTTCTACACCCGTATTCACCTGCACCTTGGGCATCTTCATGCCAGCAGTGGTGAACAACGCAATGTTGAACATGGTGCCTTTGAGGTCCTTGTATGGCTTCACAGGCACGCTCCCGTTTGGTGAGTGTTCGCTGGGTTTCTTCATGGCGATGCTCGCAGTGAGTGGGACCAGCACTATCTCTCCTGCTTTGAATGCACGTGCGGTAGTGATAGACCGATACTCAACAGGCGATGTTGCGCCAGTGATGCCTTTCAAGCAATCTCAATGCTGGGCGTGCGTGCCGTCCAAGGCGACTCTGCTTTTCGCCTCCTCATTTGACCGCCGCCAGTCGACGCCCATCATGGGGCCGTGGTCAGCGAATTTTTCGAATGTTTCCTGGGAAGGAGGGGGGGCATGCGAGAGGCATAGCACTGGATGAGTGAATGGATTGTTAAACGTACATAGAGCGGGGGAGAGATCGACAGAGAGCGAGCGGGAGTACGAGAGCGAGATGGAGAGAATGAGATATGTAGAGAGAGAGGGAGAGACCGATGAAATAGAGGACGGAAGGGATATATCTATGTAGAGAGAGAGGTCGTCAAAACAATTGAAGGTCGGGTTTCGACGAGATCGCATGTTGCCCTGCCATCTCGACGAGACGCAGTCCTCATTTATCATCTCGTCAATGCTCTCAACCACGGTCTCACTCCCGATCATCAACTTCACACCCTTCGCATCGACCCCAGCGAATTCGAACGCGCTGTCCCTGTCGCCATCTTTCGCCAAGCAAAGCTTCGCTTTCGACTCGAAGCCTCTCTCCGACAACTTGCCTGCCTGGTTGGACCATGCGCCTGTCGCAGTATACTCCTTCACACCCGAGCTTTTAGCCGTTTTGGGCGCTTCTGCAGGCGCGGCCTTGACCCCCCATGGGCTCTCCATTGGCTTGCCCGCATGTGTTGCCAACGCAGTGCAGAAGCTGGCGCCAATATCTGGCAACGCGTTGGCGCTGCCCAATCGTTCATCCGGGCGGAATACGAAGTGCACGACGCGAACAGTAGCCAACCCTACGATGGTACCGTATGCGAGCGTTCTGGCGCAACGCCTTGTTTTTTTTTTAAAAACGTTTTTTGTTGTTGGCGATCTCTCGCACCTCCTGCAAGAACTCATCCGCATGCAGAACGATTGTCGCCTTCTTGTCGTCCGACAGCGCGGGCGCGTCACCTGGCCTCAAGTGCATCTGATGGCCGTCCCTGGCGTACTTGCCACTCGCGGCCGCCGTGGCTTTCATGCGCGCGTGCGAGTTTGAATGTCGCCGCAGCCCCCTCGTTCTTGATCTTCACTTCGGCCAGGCTCTTCGCCGCGGCGCCTGTGACCACGCGCTGGGTATTTAATTGCCGCGAGGAGCCCCGCAATTCGTTGAGGAAAATTGGCTCGCCCAGACCACCCGGCATCTCTTTCGCATCCGCTACCATTCCGTCGATTTCCCCGGGGAAGCGGGAACCCGCGCAAGTCGCTTCTTGAATGACCCTCGGCCAGCCGATCCTGCCGCCTTGTTTAGCCAAGCGGCTCGCAATGGATGCGATCTTGAACTTCAGGCTCAAACGGGGCTCGCAGCGAGCGATCTGTTGCCCCGCATTGCCTGCTTCCTGGGCAAGGTTTGAAATCCACGGGAAACGCTTTGACAAATTCATGCCGACAGACCTTCCATTCAATGCCCTCATCGCAAGCCTTTGTGTAGTCGGGCTGCGCTTCCCTCGACCTTTTTTTTTTGAAAGAAACCCATCATGTAAAATCCGGTCGAATCGTTCTGGCTGTTTTTGCGGCCAGGGGACTTTCTGCATATAGATGCAACGCAACCCCATGCTTGTATGTCCACACGTGTAGCTTGCGAATTCAGCTTTGCATTCATATAAGGGCATCTGGCCGGCAGAATCTTTCAGTATCTTATCGTTGATCGCTTTGACCTTCTCATATTCCGCCGAGCCTGTTTGCAATTCCATGCGCGCTGGAATTTGAAGGGCCGAGTCTTGAACCGTTCCTGAGTCTTTTTACGATGAGATCTAGCACGTCGCTCGGCACAACCCCATCCCCATACCTGTTTTCCATGCGCACGAACATGCATTTGCTATGAATCCTCTCCATCCTGATGCAATCGATGCCTCTCCGCTGCGCTATGGCGCATACCTCCTCGAACAAAGAAACAACGGGGGCGTCTGGCTGCTCATGTGCAGCCTTGATCCGCTGCATCTCCCCAACGACGTTTTGTATGTTTAGTTCACGCTTGGCGGTCATGGCGCCGCGTGTGGAAACCACCTTTCTTGAGCCAGAAGCCTATACGGTGCATGCATATATGCAAACGAACACTGCAATATTGCAATATACACCCTTCGAAATTCATGAATGCATTGCACCGATCGCACTCTTGATGGGGGGGGGGGCCGGCAAAACTCTAGCAACGCCATGCTAAAAACGAATAACAACATTGAAAACAACCGTATACGCCAAGGAAAAAACAGCCTACACGCCATTTTTTTTCCAACATATGTTGAAAGTCTGCAGAGTTTCTAAATTGTCTAACTCCGCGTAACAATGCTTAACTAGAGAGACCAAATTCACGAAGTTAGTAAGTTCGTAACCTGGTCATAACAAATTATACTTACTTTTAACAGGCTTATAGCATAGTTGTAGCATTCTTATAACTCACGGTAACACTTTTTAGCCACGCCGATCCTTTAGGCGGCCGCCGTCGGCCCATTTGCTGCTGTTGCCAGTGCCGGCTCCGCCGGACGCGCGCAGCGCCTCCGCGCCCCCGTGCGCGCCGCGGTGCGCGGGCGGCGATCCAGCAGCGCCGCCGCCAGCGCCAGGCCGCGCGCGTGGATTGCCCAACGCGCGCTGGCCCAAAGTGGCTTGTGCTCGAAGTTAGGCTCGAAGCCTGCACGCTTCTCTCAGGGCGGGCAGCCGCGTGCGACCCATCCCCTTCTTCTTCCTCCTCCTCCTCCTCCTGTTCTCCATGTTCATTCCTCTCCTTCTCGTCTATTCCTCAGCCAGCGCAGGATTGCCCTCATCTCCGTGCCTTTCCTCACACGTATCATCCGACTTCTCTTCATATCCCGGTTTTCCTTTCTTGTGGCGCCGCCTCCTTTTATTCGTATCCTGCTCATCCACTCCTGTCCCCTCTCTCTCTTTTGTTCTCTCTCTCTCTCTCTCTGTCTCTCTTTCTTTATGTGTGTTTCCCTCTCTCTCTGTGTCTTTTTGTTTTTGTGTTTCTCTCTCTCTCTCTCTTTCTCTCTTTCTGTCTGAATCCTCTCCTCTCTTTGTCTCTCTCTCTCTCTCGCTCTCCTCTCATCTCTCTCTCTCTCTCTCGCTTTCTGTCTCTCTCACTCTTTCTCTGTCTTTCTCTCCTCCCCCTCCTCCTCCTCCTCCTCCTCCTCCTCCTCCTCCTCCTCCTCCTCCTCCTCCTCTTCCTTCTTCCTCTCCCCTTCGCCCTGCCCTGAGATCCGACGTTACGAACACATATGCAGCATCGTTCAACAAAGCTGACCACAGCCCTGGACCTCACCTTTCTGCGGCACTTCTACAGCGGGGTCGGGGCCCGAAGCTGGGCGACGTCGCCCGTTGTAGAAAAAATGCGACAACCGGATCTCAGGGGTTCCCCCCGCGCAGGAGGCCGCACCGGAGGTGGAAGACGTCGCGGCCGTAGAGGACTTGACTAGACGTAAGAGTGACCCTTCGCCGGAGTGACCTTTGCTACGGGCTCTATGGGGTCCCCCGATCGCCGAACGCGAAGCGGTAGCAGCGGCCTGCGCGCCCAGGTTTGGCCACCCCGCGTCCCTCGTGAAGCCGCGCACCAAAGGTCACTCTTGCTTAGGGTTACTCCTGTGCGTAGCCGAAGGACGTGACCGACACGGGCGGCGGCAGGCCACTGTTCGCGAGCTTCCAGCACGAGGACTGGGCCGTGCTGTCGCTGCGGTTTGAGCTGCTCCTCCTCGTAACCTCGTTCCAGAG